GATAAATTTTTAAGGTAGAAATATATGGAATTATTCTATGTTTTATTGGTTCCAATTTGACTGTAGATATTGTTTTATGTGGGTATTTTGCTATTGAATGTTGAGCTCTTAAGAATAGGTGAGACAGGAGCAATTTTGATGCCTATGCTCATTTCTACTTATTATTTTTATATGGTATACACTCTCTTTTGGTGTCATAAGTAGCTCATGCTCTTGGCTATTTGTTTATGTTGTATGGTCTCTTTAGGTGTTATAGGTTTTTGCACTTGACTCATTTCAATCACAATGGGTTCTGTCAGATTGATTTTCCCTAACTTTATGTTTTGTTCGGCAATAATGCACAACGAATACAACATTTTAATTTCCGTTTTTTTTTTTTGGGTGGACGGGTGGTGCTGAAGCAGGCAAACTTTTTCAATTATTCTGTCATGTTTAATTTTTCTTTGATTTTTCACAAGATTGTATTTTTCTTTTGCGTATTATTCTATGTGGTTGAAAGTTTCTAATTAGAAATTTAGCAGGTGAAAATGCCAGACATTCCTGTTGAGCCCTTGATTGGTGATTGTGAGTCTGAGTTCCTCCCCATTGTTCGTTCTGGAGCATGGACAGATATTGGATTTCGTTCAAACATGGAGGATGTGTATGTATGTCTTGATGATTTTATGCTTCATTATGGGCTACAGCATATTGGAGAAGGGCCAAATGCCTTTTATGGGGTACATATCCAACTACTTGTCTTCTTTTGTGTTTGAATTACATGTGATGTATTTCCTTCCTCCAAACCTAGATTCTGTGGTGCAGGAAAGTTGATCCTAGACGTCCATTGTTTGTAGGACAATGCTATAGTTTATATTGTAATTATCCTAGACGTCTACTTTTTCCGTTGTTGACTATCTTGTAGCAGGATGCAGAGCTGTGAGTTTTTATTTTATTTAATTATTTATTTATCGTGTGTACTGGTGCTACTTATAAGTTTGGAGTGGGCTGTGAGTTTTTATTTTATTTAATTATTTATTTATTGTGTGTACTGGTGTTACTTATAAGTTTGGACTTTGGAGTGGTATGGCTTGATGGCTTTTTTATTTTTTTTTATTTTTAATTTTATAAATTTATATATATATATATATAATGATGTTTTTTTTTAACTAAATCTCAACATACAGGTTTTTGATGGTCATGGGGGCAAGCATGCTGCTGATTTTGCCTGTTGTCATCTGCCTCGGTTCATTTTTGAGGACACAGAATTTCCCGGTGAAATGGAAAGGGTCATCAGCTCAGCATTTTTGCAGACTGACAATGCCTTTGCTGAAGCATGCACATTGGATTCAGGGCTTGCCTCTGGTACAACTGCATTGGCAGCTCTTGTTGTTGGCAGGTTGGTCTTTCTATTTGTTTCACTACTCAGCAATTATATCCTCTGTCAGCATATATTTGGCTTATCACTGGCTGAAAATTTTCTATTTTTCATCTGGCATTCTGATTGCCCTTCTTTTGCTGTTTATGGATGTGATATTAGTAGGCTACTGCCTACTGGATTGTTAACTGTGTTTGAGTTTCCATCTGCCTTTTTATATTGGTGAGCAAGTTGTGTATGTAGCCAACCCTTGTTTGCCTGTCACAGCACTCCTTTATATGGCAACTTTGGCTGCAGTTATATTACCTGGCCTTGAGTGTTTACTTAGGTATTTAAAGATTATTAAGTAGCCTGAGGGTATTGTATGCAACTCTGAGTGATATGTGGACCCATTTTCTTTATTGTTTTGGTTTTGTTTCATGTAATCTATATTCTATGCTAGCCTTTTATAGGAAATATTTATATCACTAAATGTTTGGAGTAATATGAATATTTTAAGAGCCTTAATTCCTGTCATCAAAGTATTTTATTTGGGTTTGGTAGAAGGTAGTTTAAAATGTTGTCGATGAGTTGTTGGAGAGAAAATCAATGGAGTTGTTGATATGATAGGATTGGATTGGATTTGAGATGTAAAGTATTAGGACTATCAGGATAATACTTAAGGTTGAGAACAACTTATTGGATCTTTAATTTGGGCTTTAAGATTTTAACGTCCTCTTTTCATCTGATATGAGGAGAGAGATTACATTTGGTAGTGATGGAAGGTAATTTACAGCCCCTTCCATTAAGGGTACAAAAATATTCCATAAAAATGAGCGCAGTAATCAGAATGAAAAAAAAAGGTTTAGCGATTGTAGCTGATGAGCAACAAAATACTAAATCTGTCTTGTTATGGGCTCATAACTCATTTGGAATTAGTTGCATGAAATGTGTTTATGTTGTCGAGGGTTTTTAAATCAATAACCGCTCTTGTCATTAATGACAATAACAAGTGCACGTTAGTACTTTTAGAGTAGACCTCATGTTGGTAAAAATATTACGACATGAGGCTTAAAGGTACCAACAAAATGGTATTTTTAGACTTCATGTTGGTAAACTAATTTACAAACACAAGGTTAAAGAGTACCATTAAACACCCGTTATTGTCATTAATGACTAGAGTAGTTATTGGCAAAGAATTCTCTTATGTTGCCATTTTTTAAAAATGAGGGTCCTCCTTTTTACCCAGTTGGCTAATTGGAGACTCAAAAGCCCATGATATTCGAGTTGGTTTTTAAATTCTAAGAAGAATAAAAGGATCTTGTTGAAAGTTACCCTTAGTTTGGCATGACGATATAGAGTAACTGAAAAGGGAATTGGATAGATACCAAAATAATAAGTGTAATGTTGGGATGGAGAGTGAAAGGGCTGATAAGTTGGAGAGAGGAGGTTATAGAATAATATTTCAGTTGTCACTTTTAACCCAGAAATTATGGTGAAGTTTATCATGGGACATTGCAAATAGCTAAAATGCAAAGATATTTTAGGATGGAGGGAGTATTACTATTGAGGGGGTTTTAAATGTTGGTAGCTCTTTTGTTCTGACAAAAGCCTTATCTAAGTGACTTTAAGTTCAAAACTATATCTTTGCATTTTTTGGAGTATTTGGTATTTTTTTTTTATACATGAGATGTCTGAATGTGGAACACATTTTTTTATTTACCACAGGTCGTTGGTTGTGGCTAATGCTGGTGATTGTCGAGCTGTATTATGCCGGAGGGGCAAAGCAGTTGAAATGTCAAGGGATCATAAACCGCACTGCTCTCGGGAGCTGAAGCGAATTGAAGCATGTGGAGGCTATGTTGATGATGGCTACCTGAACGGCCAACTCAATGTTGCCCGTGCTCTCGGAGACTGGCATATGGAAGGATTAAAGGGTGGTGATGGTGGACCCTTAACTGCTGAGCCTGAGCTTATGACAATTGAGTTGACTCTAGAGGATGAGTTCCTTATCATAGGATGTGATGGACTGTGGGATGTTTTTAGAAGCCAGAATGCTATTGATTTTGCTCGGCGAAGACTTCAAGAGCACAATGACCCTGTGATGTGCAGCAAGGATCTTGTTGATGAGGCTTTGAAGAGGAAAAGTGGGGATAATCTTTCTGTTGTTGTAGTTTGTTTTCGGCCCGAGCCGCCCCCGAACTTGATTGCTCCAAGGCCTAGGGTCCAAAGGAGCATTTCCGCTGAAGGGTTGCGAGAGTTGCAGAGCTTTTTGGATGGTTTGGAAATTTAGCTAAGATGGTGACGACGAATAGTTAGTTCCTTTCAGATTCATATTATCGTAGCTTCGTAGTTAGTCCTGTTGAGATCGGAGAAGTCATCGAGGTGATTGTCCAACTGTACCATATGCGGCAGTAAGTTGACATTTTCATTCCTGTTCTACTCTAGTTTTATGGCTGATTTATAGTTTAGGCAATGAGTTTAGTATCTCACCTCGTTGTAAGGTTAAATTTTTGTAGTTAGTAGTTTGGCAATGTTGGTTTGCTATATGAAGGATGCTTTATGCTTCATAATTCACCGAACACGACTTGTAGGGGGGATGAAGCCATATTCTTTGAGCTCCCTCATGATTCTTAATACAAGATTTTCCTCGTACTACAAATTGTGGTACAAATACTTCTATGGTTTTGTTGCTTATACAACATTTGTTAAGCTCATTATTTTTGCTGATATAATATATGTTTGTTTCGCAATAACCAGCATGTAACAGTTCTATGAATTTATTTTATGCTTATATAAAATGCTGTTTGGTATTGGTTTTTCTTTTGGAAGAAAATTAAATGCTGCTTTTAAGAACACAAAATAAACTCGTAGCATATCAACCGGGGAAAGGTGTTAGTTCATCCTCACTATGTATATACTACTATGTACGATGTATATATGCTAGTGTTTACCGAGTGACCAAGCATCTCTTTTGTATCAGAAGAGAGGCGATGAATGTCATTGTACACTATGCTGTTGTATTGATGATGCGACGAGCTTCATTGCTAATTTTGTTTTCCGGGTTCGTCCAGTGTTCAGTAGTCAGTACCCAATTGATCTTACCATTTGTATTGGCAACATTTGTGGATAAGTTAGGCTTCCCCAGCCTCTAAATAACTAGCCAGATTTACTTAGTATGGTGATGCACAGCCCAATTTGTTGAGCTATTTTGTGAGTTGACCCGACCTAAATTGAATCTTTATACTACAGTTTTTTGGGACATAGCCCAACCCTTTATCTATTTACTTTTAAGGAAATACTTTTGTCTAATAAGACATGCGATGAGATAATGTGACAATTATTTTTAGATTAGTTTAATAATATATTAAATACGAGCTAAAAAGTAATTCAAGCTTTATTCACATAGTTTTCACTTATAACATATTTAAATAAATTTGATCTTATTTCGTTGTATGTTAAATTTAGGATACCTGTATTGATCATTATTATAACTTATCTAAATTTTTCTAAACTAATCTAAACTTATTAATCTTTATCTAAACTTTATATGAACTTATTTTTTAGGACATGAGGGGAAATAAGGTGTTCAGTTGTTGGCTTGTTGCACAATTAAACAGAGGTTATTAAAATTTCACTTTGATAGTGATTCTTATATAGTTACTAGTGATGTTGTAAATGGTGTAATTTCTGACTTAATTGTTGACACTTTCAGAAGAAAAAGAACACAAATTGAAAATCAATTCTACAATATGAACTTTTGATTGTACATTAATTTGCTACAAAGAATCAAGAATAAAGAATTTAATAACAAAATAACCCCTCTTTTTTTTTTGTTTTAGTGTAAATGCATTTAGGATGAAGCAGTGCATTCAGTAGGAAGACCTTCAGGAAACCTCTGAACATCAGCACAATAATTGTAGACCATGTAATTCTTCTGCACCCATTTCATCCTTTCCATGCTTGCTGAATCCAGCTCTTCAGTCAGCCAATCCGAACTCGATGAGGGCGAAGAACCCGACCCACACGAAGATGAACCAGATGCCCAAACACAAGCATCAGCATTGAACTTCCTGTATGATGCAGTAAACGGGGCTTGAGTCCAATCAGTCTTGACTCGACCGCCTTGTGTAGCCCAATCATCAGCATTCCACAAGCTAGAGTAAATCCTCATTGGTTGATTCTTAGGAAATGGGATTCCTTGTGATTCCATGTTCTTGTGTTCTCTAATAGGAATCCCATCAACTGAGAAAACAATCCTCTGAGGGTTCCATAGGATCGAGTAAGTGTGGAAATCCTTAGTAGGATCGAACCATAAGTGGAACTGTTTTTCACGGTTACCTTTCCCTTGTGCAAACACATTGGTATGGAGAGTGTAAGGCTCTCCACTAACATTTCCCAAAAACTCAAAATCTATCTCGTCGTGGGTAGTTCCCATTGACGAAAGATAGTAAGCAGTGACAGTACCAGCAGAGTTACCAGAGACGAGTTTCAACTGCATATCAATTTTACCAAAAAGATACTCGTTTTTAGACTGAAAACCCGAACCCGAGGATTTGTCTAGGGAGAGGGTGAAGTCATCCCCATCGCCGAGGATCTTACCTCTACCATCTCCCCAAGTAATGGTAAAGTCATTGTTGAAGTTAGCTCTAGAAGTGGCAATAAAAGTGGCTAGAAAAAGAGTGGCTAAAACAAGAGTAGATGATGCCATATTTTGTGTTTGTGTTTGTGTCTTAGTAATGTTTTTTTGAGTTGGTTGATATTTTCTAAATTTGAAGTAGATTATATATAGTAAGTGAATGAATGCTAGGAAGGTTCTTGCATAGTGGTTGGAACAGCTGGAGTTATTTGGTGGATGACAATTGAAAATGACATGAACATAAAAACCGTGTTTAATTCAGATTTTAAGGTGTATATATAAAACACTTATGATTTTTATATTATTTGTTCTTTTTTGACGCGGGATTATGCAAAAAAGAAGTATGACCTTTTAGACAAATGATTATGGATTTCATCATTACTATGACTATTGGCTCACCGTCATGGTATTTCAATGCTTTTTACATTAAATAAATAAAAAAAAGTATGAGTAAAATAATATTGATAGTATGTTTTAATTAAAACAAAATGAGAAAACAACATAAGATCTAATTATTTTCAGTTCACTTCATTTCATTTCAGTTTCTAATTTTCTTCTCTTATAAAATATTCAGTTCAATTCAATTCAACTTAGTTTCAAAAATGTGAACAAGCCCTAGTACCTTAGCCATTAGGAAATTAAAAATCAAATAAAAGAGACTTGAAAATTAAAAAACATCATATATTCATGTGCCTGAGCAAAAAGCAATAAGATTTGGTATAGCTAGTTGCATGTACTCCGTAGGTATGAATACAAAAGCATAGGGATGTTAAAAGCTACTCTCTCCATTTTTAAATACTTGCTCCATTTCTCTATGAGCGGAGTTTTAGGAAATATTCAAAAAGTAATAAAATATGGAGGTAGTGTGGTAGTTAGAAAATAAAAAATTGTAAAAAGCAAAAGTAGTGGAAGAATAAGTGGATAGGGAGTATTATGTTGGGTCCACCAAGTATGACAAATGAATTAAATATTATAAAAGCTTTCCAAAATAGGAAATGAAGCAAGTATTTAAAAACGGTCGGAAAAAGAAAGTGGAGCAAGTATTTAAAAACAGAGGGAGTAATACTCACAATTAGGGTTGTACACCGGTCCAAAACTGGACCAGACATGAATGGACTGGGACCTGAATCATTGATTTTTAAGGACCGGATTCAAGTCCAGTTCCGGTCTAGACTTGAAAAATCAGGTCCGATTCGGGTTTGGACCTGAATAGATATAATTATTAATTTGTTCCTTTTTTATTTTTTTTAAATAAAAAACTTGTTGGGCCTTTTTATGGACATGTTTAGACCTATTTATGGACCTGTTTAGACCAATAAGTCTATTGTGCACCCTGGTCCACCTAGGATAGCTGGACCACAGGCGATTGTTCAGATTTTATTACCAAATGTTCAAAAGTATGGACGTGGTGCAGTGTTCGGATTTTTTTTACAAAATGTTCAAAATTTGCAATTATTCAGATTTATTTACGAAATGTTTAAAAGTATAGGCATACATTGAGATTGTTCAGATATTTTTACTAAATGTTCAAAATTTGCGAGGTTCAGATTTTTTTACTTAATGTTCAAATTTTGCAATTGTCCAGATTTTTTTTACTAAATGTTCAAAAGTGTAGGCGTGGTCATTGTGATTGTTCAAATATTTTTACTAAATGTTCAAATTTACGAGGTTCGGATTTTTTTTTCTAAATATTCAAAATTTGCAATTGTACAGATCTTTTTACAGAATGTTCAAAAGTATATGCGTGGTACATTACGATTGTTTAGATATTTTCACTAAATGTTCAAAAATTTTGATGTTCAGATTTTTTTTTAAATTTTAAAAAAATATTCAAAATTTACAATTGTTCAGATTTTGTTTACTAAATGTTCAAAAGTATCAGGTAATCGATCATAATATAACAGATACGAATTGATCGATCGAATTAACTTCAACAAATTCAATTGATATTAGAACAATGATTTCATCTACAATTTCATCTCAAAATCAAAAAATTACGTACAACTTAACGAGAACAGTAAAAACAATCAGTTAACCGATTACGAATTGAAATCAATCAAATTAGCTTTCACAAATCCAATTAATATTAAAACAATTATTTCATCCACAAGTTCATCTCAAAATCAAAAAATAAATTAACTTTGATCAATAACAAACTTGGATTGATATCTTTGGGAATTTAAAATTGTTCCATCACGTTAAATGCAGAAATTTAATGGAAAAAAAATCAAAGAATAGAGGAGAGAGAAAATAAGAATTTGAAAAAAGAAGAAGAATGAAGTAATTCAATAAAGAAATAAAAGATGGTGGGAAGAAGAAGAAGAAGAGAATGAAGTTATGTTTCATTTATACAAGGTTGTGTTTTAATAGGGGTCTAACTATTTTAGATGAACTAGGGTCCATATGAGAATTTGTACTGTTTAGACCTGACGTGGACCTGTTTGGACCTGATATAGACCTGTTGGGACCTCTTTGGACCTGTTAAATAAATAAATAAATAAATAAATAAAAAGCAGTTATACGGTTTCATGTCCACACTTGAAAATTCCAGGTTTTACCCGGACCGGACCCAAAACCCGGAATCATGGATTTTTAAGGACCGGGACCGAACCTGAATTCACCGGTCCGATTCTGGTCCGGTCCAAACAAGTCCGGTTCAAGTCGGATTCAGGTCCGAGGCAGTTTGTGTACACCCCTACTCACAATAAGAAGTGACAAATATTGACAATAGATCAATTATATAAGCACTTCTCAACCTCTAATAACTTGTGTAATATAATTTCTTTTTGACAAATAAAAAACTTGAGTAATTTTTTTAGGGAATAATAACTTGAGTAATTATTAACTCTAATAACACTTGTTGGTGTGAAATTATACTTTGATGTTAATTTATATCATATTACCAATAAAGAATTCTCTTGATACAACAAAGTTTGCATTTGCTGATATTAATAATCAAGTATTTTTGTACTCCATGGTAATACCACCTAAACACGATTTTATACTAATGAATATTATTAAAGTCGTTAACAACTCAAGTTATTAGAGACAAAAATTTACTTATTTGTATCTTTAAAGAATGTGTTTTTGGACTGTGTCATATTCACTTTCGATCAATTAGCTTATATAGGTCAAATATTATGTTACACATTATTTTCAATTGGTTTTGCATAGTTTCAATTCATATCAATTTGGGTCATGTGATTTTGATAAGTATGTGTTCAAAATCAATATTATAAGGTCAAATAATCATATAAATACCCCATTTATCAATCTCATTATAGTACAATATTCGTATTTTATATTACCCACTACATCTATAAAACATTCTTCAGATTGGCTTAATTAAGGACACAAAAAAAAAAAAAAAAGGATTAGTGAACAGAATATGGGTCACATTCTCACATACCAGAAACCACGTGCATTGATATTCCTTTGTTTCTTTGTCCCTAGATTTCTTTTAATCAATTTATTTTTCATTATTCCATACTCTTCCATATATAATCGCTTTCCTTCAAACCAAGTTTCCTTTTGAATGAAGACGTTCAACTTTTATAATACCTCAAGTGAGTCAAGTATTAGACATCAAAGTCTGTACTAAAACGTAGTCATTTAGGCCGGGTGTAGGTCAAATAACCTTATATTATAACACGTTAAATAAGTTGCACGGTCAAGTCGGAGTTTAAATCAATTAACCTTTTGTTATAGTGAGTTGCCCATCTAAAATTTTAGTTTAGAGCAAATAACTAGAAAGACTTGAATTCTTATTAAAATTGGAAATATCGGGTATAATAAGAAAGCGATGCAAGAAATATAGGACGAAAGAAGTATGTTAAACCTCATTAGCCATTACTCCTCCCAATTACTAAGGCACTGTAAATGTAGTCCGTATCACACGTAAATCGAAAAATCATCTCAACTTGAGAATATTTCATTAATCATATTACTAAGAATCAAAGTTACAATAATCAGCTAAAAAGAATCAAAGAATAATGAATTTAATTCTAATCAAGTGTAACAAAACACATTTAAGATGTAGCAGTGCATTCAGCAGGAAGACCTTCAGGAAACCTAGGAAGATCAGCACAATAATTATAAACCATATAATTCTTCTGGGCCCACCTCATTCTTTCCAAACTAGCTGAATCCAACTCTTGGGTCAACCATTCTGACCCGGATTTGGGTACTGAACCCGACCCGCAAGAAGATGACCCGGAAGCCCAAACACAAGCATCAGCTTTAAAGTTTCTATATGAAGCTGTAAATGGGGCTTGGGCCCAATCGGTCTTGACCCGCCCACCTTGAGTGGCCCAATCTTCAGCATTCCACAAACTAGAGTAAATCCTCATTGGTTGATTCTTAGGGAATGGGATTCCCTTTGATTCCATATTCTTGTGTTCTCTAATTGGAGTTCCATCAACTAGGAATACTATTCTTTGGGGATTCCAAAGAATTGAGTAAGTGTGGAAATCTTTAGTGGGGTCGAACCATAAATGGAACTGTTTTTCACGGTTACCTTTACCTTGTACAAACACATTGGTATGAAGAGTGTAAGGTTGGCCACTTACGTTACCTAAAAACTCGAAATCTATCTCGTCGTGGGTAGGCCCCATCGACGATAGATAGTAAGCAGTGACAGTACCAGCAGAGTTACCAGGTACGAGTTTTAACTGCATATCGATTTTACCAAACAAATACTCGTTTTTAGATTGAAAACCCGAACCCGAGGATTTGTCTAGGGAGAGGGTGAGATCGTCCCCGTTGCCGAGGACCTTACCTCTACCATCTCCCCAAGTAATGGTAAACTCATTGTTAAAGTTGGCCTTAGAAGTGGCAATTAAAGTGGCTAAGAAAAGAGTAATGTAAACAAATTTTGAGGGTGCCATATTTTTTTTTGTGGGATAAATGTTTATGATATTTGAATGTTTGATGAAGTTTAGTTGGAGAAGAGGGAGTTATATATAGGGGTGTTTGAAAGGGAAGTTTGTAGTACTCCGTAGTGAAGTGAGTAGGTTGGATGAGTGAGTGGAGAGTGAGCTGGTAGAAGTTGTTAGCTGGAATGTGATTGGAAAGGGGGAAAAAGATAGGGAAATGGTAAGAGATAGCTGGATTTTGGGGCACAAAGATGCAAGTGGAAAACCGTATCTAAAAAATATGGGGTCAATAAGGTTGCAACCAACCCAACCATTTTTTTTTATATTCTTGACAAAAATAATTGAATACGCGGATCTATGCATGGAGATGGAACTTGAGATACTTAATTGTATGGATTACTATCTCGGTTTCATAATATTAATCACTCTGTCCGTCGTTTACGATTTCTTTAAAAGGTAAAATATTCTTAAAACTTAAGTGTAATATTATAAACTCTAATATATAATACTAAAATATATTTGAAAAAATTGACAGTTAAGAGCATTGTGAAACGGAAATGATAGATGTGTCAAAGATATTTATGAAATGAAAATTTCAAGTTAAGGAGAATGCCGAGATTAGAGATTAAACCTTATCAGTTTTTGGTCCAATATTGGGGTTGAGAGGATTCAAACTTATGTTGCACACTTGAAATTGAATGGAAAACATAAGAGACCTTTATCCCCAAATATTGGGGTTGAGAGGATTCGAACGTATGTTTTTGTTACTTTATTACAAGTTGAATCCCTAATCAATTACACCAAACATGCTCGGGCAGCTTGGTGGATTAAAATGATAAATTAACAAAAAAAAAAAAGTAACCAAATAATAACCTCTAGTACGAGTAATATTTAATCCTTTAACTTTCAAATTACAAGGTCAAACATTTACCACTAAGTCTAGCCTTATTTAATACTCCGTACTTACAACACTTAAACACATAAGTAACCACTTGCTACCCAAGTACTCCATATTAATTTTTTGACAGTAATTGCATATGCAAATCCATAATGGTGTTCCTATATCAATCTTTTAAAATGTAAATCTTACTCCATAAGACATGTATCTACCACAAACATTCTACTAGAAACATGGCGGTGTACGGGCCACAAAAAAAAAACGAATTATTGCTTGTGATCTGCCTTATTTTATAAGATACCCAAATCCGCGTTACCCAATTCATTTCCTTATAATAATATTGCTAGATTTGGCCTTTTTGGACTCACATCACTTTCTAATTCCAGCCTTTCACCAACTCACTCTTTACGCTTTTTTCCAGCTCACTATCTTAACACTATTTTGTATGATATGCATTTCATAAGAACCTTCCTAGTTTTACTTGTTACATGTATAAACTTCTACTATAAAACGGTAAAACCCCTTTATTCATCATTCAAATTCATCAACCAACACAAACAAAAACATAACAAAATATACACAAAACATATTATAGTATGGCATCATCAAACTCAATTGTCTTAGCCTTTTTTCTTCTAGCTACTCTCATTGCCACTTCTAGAGCTAATTTCAACAATGACTTTGCCATTACTTGGGGTGACGGTCGAGCTAAGATCTTAAACAATGGGGATGATCTAACCCTCTCCCTAGACAAGTCCTCCGGTTCGGGTTTCCAATCTACCAACGAGTATTTGTTTGGTAAGATTGACATGCAGTTAAAACTCGTACCTGGTAATTCTGCTGGTACTGTCACTGCTTACTATCTATCGTCGATGGGGCCTACCCACGATGAGATAGATTTCGAGTTTTTAGGTAATGTAAGTGGACAACCTTACACTCTTCATACTAATGTGTTTGCACAAGGGAAAGGTAACCGCGAAAAACAGTTCCACTTATGGTTCGATCCTACCAAAGATTTCCACACTTACTCAATTCTTTGGAATCCCCAAAGAATAGTTTTCTTAGTTGATGGAACTCCAATTAGAGAACACAAGAATATGGAATCAAAGGGAATCCCATTCCCTAAGAATCAACCAATGAGGATTTACTCTAGTTTGTGGAATGCTGAAGATTGGGCCACCCAAGGTGGGCGGGTCAAGACCGATTGGGCCCAGGCCCCATTTACTGCTTCATATAGAAACTTTAAAGCTGATGCTTGTGTTTGGGCTTCCGGGTCATCTTCTTGCGGGTCGGGCTCAGTACCCAAATCCGGGTCAGAGTGGTTGACCCAAGAGTTGGATTCAGCTAGTTTGGAAAGAATGAGGTGGGCCCAAAAGAATTACATGGTTTATAATTATTGTGCTGATCTTCCAAGATTTCCTGAGGGTCTCCCTGCTGAATGCACTGCTACATCTTAAATACAAATAGTCACTCGAAAAAACAAAATTTGGATTAAATTCTTTATTCTTTGTAGTTGATTAATGTATAATCTATGTGGTGTAAATTCTTTATTCTTTGTAGCTTGGATTTCGTGGGGGTAGATTTTCGTGGGAGGGGGGATTTTTTCGAGGTGGTGCCTGGATTTCGTGGGCTGGTGGCCTGGGTTTTGCGGGGCTGGTGGCCTGGGTTTCGAGGGGCTGGTGGGTTTTGTATAGGTGGCTTTTGTGGGGTGGTTATTGTGGAGGTAGTGAGTTCTCATGGGGGTGTTGGTGGGTTTTCGTGAGGGTGTTGGTGGTGGTGGTGGGTTTTCATGGGGGTTTTGGTGGTGGGCTTTCGTGGGGGTGTAGGTTGGTGGTGGTGGTAGGTTTTCGTGGGGGTGGTGGTGGTGGTGTGAGTGGTGTTGCCGGTGGTGACAGTGGATGGTTGGTTGGTGTTGGTGTTAGTGTTAGATCTTCTTTCTCTCTCTTCACCTTAATTACTTTTTTTTTTTTTTTTTTACAACAAGAAATTACTTTAAAACGTTTTATTTGTTTAAAAGGAAAAAGTTTTATTTATTTAAATATAGCCACAAAAAGAACACATTTCATTTATTCAAACATGTAGGAAGTTATAATTTAGTTGTCACAAATATGTTTGTACTCCGAGGCAAGATTTTGACCTTAGCTTGAAATTTTAGTGAATTTTTTTTTAATATAATGACATTCTCAATGAAATAAGTTTAAAAAGATCATGCATAATTACTTCTTTCTTTTTTTTTTTTTTTTAATATATATATTTTAATTTTTATTATGCATTGTCGAAATTTTGTGGTAAAAAAAACGTAAATTTTGAAGACATTTGCCACTTAATTTGGGATACATGGATTAGAACTCAATTATTGCATGCTCTAGTGATTGAATCCAACGTCATAGCTAGTAGCAAGCTCCCGTCTCAAGTATATTCATTATGAAATTCCTTTCAAATCTTTTTAAAATTCTCTAGGCATCATACAAAATTACGATGCTACTTTCAATCTATTGAAAGAATATGATAATTCCAAAATTAAGGTTCCTACCTACATACCTAGTGTTTTTACTTTATAATTTTTTGTTACCAGACTATATAAGCATCGTGAACGCACACAAACACCTTAATCAAACTTTGTCGTCCCTTAATTTTGTCACCAATATTATAGGCAAGGGTTCTATTTCTTAAACTTTGTCGTCCCTTTTTTGCCCAAGACGTACATCTTCGATTTATCTATCTAATAAGTCATTAGTTTCTGTTGGTTTCTCTTTAATCTACTTACCTTAATACAAAAATATTCTTAATTACTTATTAATAACTAAAATTTTTGTATTTAATTTGCTAATGCATCACTTTATTTGAAGATTTTCCCAACCCTTAATTAGGAACCTTTTATTATAATAGATATTCAAATAAGCAAACTCTAAAATAAATTTCTACTCAAAAGTTCACACACGCTACGGGTTGAAGAGTAGTCAAGCCATCCACACGAGTCAACTTTTTAAAGTTTGAGTATCTCATTACATGTATTTAAAGGCCAGGTGTCTAAAACTGATCCAATCCGACTGGATCCGACCTAATCTAAGTGACCCAATTTAAAAGTTAAAGTGTTTGGGCACAATGATTAACATGATTCAAACCTGAATATACATACTCGAAATCGATGTTGCCCCAATTATTTGAACTGATGAAACCTCTTCAATCATATATCTGGAATCATTATAAGCACGCACGTGTAAGTAGACCGGCTATACATAACAACAAAGTATTGACTCATTTGGTAGGCTTCTTACCTTATATTCTAGAGGTACGGGGTTCGAAATTCTAATAAGTGAGGGTGTTAGAGGTTTGAGGTCAGGTTCTCTTATCATCTCCTCTATTCCCAAGTGCTTAGCCAGTAAATACCGGACCAAAAAGCTGTAACAGTTGAGGTCTAATCAGAATATGCCCAAAAATAATAAAAATAGACCAGCTAGCTACTCAAAGCTCAAACTATTGGTGGCCCAAAATTATTGAAATGTTAAATAAAGGGTATAAAACTTTTTGTTGAGGGATACTTTGCAGTTTGCAAGCTGTTTGATTCATGTAGTGGTCTCTTATCCTAGGTACGGGGTTCGAAATTCTAATAAGTGAGGGTGTTAGAGGTTTGAGGTCAGGTTCTCTTATCATCTCCTCTATTCCCAAGTGCTTAGTCAGTAAATACCGGACCAAAAAGCTGTAACAGTTGAGGTCTAATCAAAATATGCCTAAAAATAATAAAAATAGACCAGCTAGCTACTCAAAGCTCAAACTATTGGTGGCCCAAAATTATTGAAATGTTAAATAAAGGGTATAAAACTTTTTGTTGAGGGATACTTTGCAGTTTGCAAGCTGTTTGATTCATGTAGTGGTCTCTTATCCTAGGTTTCTAGTGCCCCAAAATCCAGCTAACAGTTTAGTATGCACTCGTTATGCTTTTGCACTTTTTCCAGCTAACAATCTACTAAGCTGCCACACTTCACTTTCCTCTCCAACTGAGATTTATTGTTTTATTTTCTACTATATTATTAGGTTTATATTGATCAATTTAAGAGGATAAGAACTCATCAAAATATCATCCCTTATTACTACTTTCTCGTTTCTATTTAGTTGACGCGTTTGATTAGACACATATATTAAGGAGAGGAGAGAGAGTGAGAGAGAATGAAAAAACAAGTGGGGTATCTTGTAAATGCAATCTAAAAAGTTTACTCCAAAAGAGAACTTGTCAATTGAAAAATAAAACTTTCTAAAAAGAAATATGTGTCAACTAAAAAGAAATGGAAGTAGTATTTTAATCATTAATGTTTTCCTACTCTTATAAACTTTATTACTGGTAGCATTATTATGATGGAAACACCTTTATGACCCTACGAGATTATTATATACAGTGGCGGAGCCAGGATTTTCAACTTGGGGGGACAAAATGCTTAACTTACGAAAAGCTTAACAAAAAAAAAAAACAAAAATTGTCGAAGATCGGGTTGTTTAGTTGCCTTTGATTTGGTACATTACTATTACTTGAACCACCCATTTCCATACTATTTTCTTGACTTTGAGGGGAGCTAAATGAAGGTGAGTTATTGGACTCATTTTCATTGGACTCATTTTCATTGAGTTTCGTTCTTTTAAACAAGAATTGTCGAAGATCGGGTTGTTTAGTTGCCTTTGATTTGTTTGAATTTGGTGAATCGTTTGACATTTCCTAATTAAATCGAAAATTATATATCAATTTCCACAAGACCACAATCCACATCATTACATAATAACAAAACCTAAGAGGCTAAGATTTTAAATTTCTAATTCAACTACACATTTCAATAATTTACAATAATTAATAAATTTAAATTCACATTTCACAAAAACAACCAAAAACTCTAACAGGGGAAACAATCAAACAAATATAAATCAATAATCATTTATCAATTCAAATTATTCAATAATCAATACCCACGATTCCATAAGCAGCTCTCCATTTCTACCCCTTATTTCAATCTCATCATATTATTATAGCTAAGAAATCAAATATACTTTCTTCATTTTAATACTCAGAAAAATTAATCAAACAAGTAAAATCAGCAACATTTTAAACCAAAACTAAGACAATCAACTTATATAATATAAACACAGTAATTGAATGCTCATCATCAATGACTAAAACCCACAAAAAATAACCATCATTGAAACTCTTAATCAAACCAAACACATTAATAATCACCCATATTGTTCATATTAAGAAGAAAAAAAAAAAACCAATCTTTAAACCCAACATTAATCAGATCAATCAATACAGAAACCAACAGAGAATTCTAAAACAAACCCAGAAACCAAATTAGCAAAGACAAGAAGGGTTACCTTCAAATTATTGAAATTCCTGATTAAGACTGAATTGGATTATAAAAAAGCCGGCAATATGAAGCTAAATAGAATAAAAAGGAGATTAACCCAGAAATCAAAATTAAATTTCAGCTGGAGTGACAAGGCCACAAATGACAAATTCACAATAAAAATATAAACAATTAAACATTTAAACAAGTAATAAAAATATGAAATTCAGAATTTCAGATTTACTGTAAATTTAAACAATTAAACATTTAAACAACAAAACAAGTAATCAATTATTCAATTAATCATACATTCATTGATTCATACCTCCATTGAAATGCATATGACGAACAGACGAAGTGTCGATCGAAGTCACGCTGTCACGCTGTCACGAAGACACGAAGTCACGATTCACGAAGGACGAAGGCTCAAGGGCTGAAGGGCGGCTGTTGAACCTCGTCACTGCTGCGAACTGCCGGCGAACGGTGGACGAACAGACGGCTAGGCGAACAGACGAAGTCACGAACACACGAAGTCACGAAGGAGGAAGGACGAAGGCTCAAGGGCGGCTGTTGAACCTCGTCACTGCTGCGAAGTGCGAACTGCCGGCGAACGGACGAAGACTGCCGGCGAAGTGGCGAACGGACGAAGGCGAGGGCGATTGGGCGAATCGAAGAGAGAGAAATTGAAAATTGAAAAACTTAGGGTTTGGCTTTCAGGCTTTGGCTGGCTGGAAAATGTCGCAACGCAACTTGTAATTGCATTTTTTTTTTTTTTTTTTTTTTTTTTTTTTTTAAATTTTTTTTTTTTTTTAATTTTTTTTTTTGAAAATGGGGGGACAAGTGTCCCCACTCGTCCCCTTCTAGCTCCGCCCCTGAAACCAAACACATTAATAATCACCCATATTGTTCATATTAAGAAGAAAAAAAAAAAAAACCAATCTTTAAACCCAACATTAATCAGATCAATCAATACAGAAACCAACAGAGAATTCTAAAACAAACCCAGAAACCAAATTAGCAAAGACAAGAAGGGTTACCTTCAAATTATTGAAATTCCTGATTAAGACTGAATTGGATTATAAAAAAGCCGGCAATATGAAGCTAAATAGAATAAAAAGGAGATTAACCCAGAAATCAAAATTAAATTTCAGCTGGAGTGACAAGGCCACAAATGACAAATTCACAATAAAAATATAAACAATTAAACATTTAAACAAGTAATAAAAATATGAAATTCAGAATTTCAGATTTACTGTAAATTTAAACAATTAAACATTTAAACAACAAAACAAGTAATCAATTATTCAATTAATCATACATTCATTGATTCATACCTCCATTGAAATGCATATGACGAACAGACGAAGTGTCGATCGAAGTCACGCTGTCACGCTGTCACGAAGACACGAAGTCACGATTCACGAAGGACGAAGGCTCAAGGGCTGAAGGGCGGCTGTTGAACCTCGTCACTGCTGCGAACTGCCGGCGAACGGTGGACGAACAGACGGCTAGGCGAACAGACGAAGTCACGAACACACGAAGTCACGAAGGAGGAAGGACGAAGGCTCAAGGGCGGCTGTTGAACCTCGTCACTGCTGCGAAGTGCGAACTGCCGGCGAACGGACGAAGACTGCCGGCGAAGTGGCGAACGGACGAAGGCGAGGGCGATTGGGCGAATCGAAGAGAGAGAAATTGAAAATTGAAAAACTTAGGGTTTGGCTTTCAGGCTTTGGCTGGCTGGAAAATGTCGCAACGCAACTTGTAATTGCATTTTTTTTTTTTTTTTTTTTTTTTTTTTTTTTTTTTAAATTTTTTTTTTTTTTAATTTTTTTTTTTGAAAATGGGGGGACAAGTGTCCCCACTCGTCCCCTTCTAGCTCCGCCCCTGATTATATACCAACCAATAATTAACTCACCTGATAATTTTCGTAATATA